GGGCGCTGTAGCTCAAACGGTTCTTGAGATACGTGCATGTAAAGTTGATAATCAGGCTAAAAAGTTTGGAGAATTTTCAATTAAATTTGCGTAAATCGACCTTCAAACTCCCTACGGGCAGATAAAACCTATGCAAAACCTAATCTAGGGATGAAAGCAACAACACTTTGAAGCGCCATTGAAATCTGAGTGTATCACCGGAAAACCTTCCCTGTAAGCCTTACCCAAACCCCAACAACTTCATTTTTTAGCAGATGATACTTGCAATATCACTGCTTGTACAACAGCTAAATGGGTAGCGTTGACGATGGCCAAGGCGCAGTATTGTCAACAATACTGGGCCATAGACGTTTTAAAATAATATTATTATTAGAAGCGGGGTGAGATAGGTAGCGTTGACGATGGTCACCAATGACCACATTGTGGTCACTAACCAGCATGGCCCAGTATTTTTGCAATGCTGAGCCAAGGCCCAGTATTGACAACAATACTAAGCCAAGGCCCAGTATTGTCAACAATACTAAGCCAAGGCCCAGTATTGCCAACAATACTGCGCCATTACCCTTTTAAATAATATTATTAGTAAGAGGGGGGCAGATGGGTAGCGTTGACGATGGCCAAGGCGCAGTATTGTCAACAATACGGGGGGGAAATAACTCAGTCATTTCGATTCCGATCGTCTTCGGGCATAAAACGTTTTTGTTTTCTTTTGACAAGAGGGATCTGGCACCGTGGTCTGTTTTTCATTGTCAGTCAGTTTCCTCACCTCGTTAGTTGTGAGGACTAATTCTTTTTTCCCGTGCAACTTTCGCACTCAGAAGAGCGAAAGAGCACTTTTCGCACCGTCTTGGTGCGATTTGGAGCTTTCGCACTCGTGAAGTGCGATTTTCGCGCTGCATTCTGCTCGGAACTTTTTAGTGAGTGCCTGTCTGCAAAAATTACAACCGGACTTATCCCATATTGACATGGGAAGGGAAATGTGCTTTAACACTGGGCTTATTGTACGTACGGAAGTTTGTACTGTATTCCATACGGTTCCCATTACCCAGTAGTATCCAAAAATGATAAAAAGTGATTTTTGGAAAACGCGGACTTATCCCACTTTCACTTGTCACCGGTGAGTTGTGAGCTGTAGCGCTTGTGCCCTAGCACATGTGATCTAACAAGGGAAGGTTTTCCGGTGATACAGTCAGATTTCAAAGACGCTTTAAAGAGTAGTTGTTTGCACCTCTAGAATAGGATTGGCACTGGTTTTAGCTGCCCGTAGGGAGTTTGGGGGTCATTTCACAAGAATTTCATCAAAAATTTCCCAAATTCATCGGTTTTTTGCC